CTTGGGCATTTAGGAATGTCACCCTTCTTTGATACTCCCTATCGTGCGATAAAGCTCAAGATAGAAAGTTAATTTCCTCGTTATGTCTCATTTTCCAGATGAGTAATCCACGAGTTCGAAGCAGCAAGGAGGGAATGACCTTGTCGGAGAATCTGGGGGAGATTGCACAAGAGTTCGTTGGGAGAATGTGTCAAGCCATGGAGGAATTGGAAGAACTTGTTGCTAAGGGAAGTACCCTTGTTCCTACCAATGTCACCATACCACCGGATCATGTGGTGAGAGCATTTAAGAAACGAAAGAGGGTTGTTGGTACTAATAATTCANTCTGCAACCATTGATCAGTTGGATATAATAAGACATGATATAAGATATTACCGAGCCCTTATGTGGCCGGATATGATGATGTGTGATGTAAGGCTACCGAGTCCTTTTGAGGCCGACTACACCGAGACATGTTGAGGTCGGGTTCAGTGGAGTCCTCCTAAGGTCGGGTACGACCGAGTCCTCTATGAGGTCAGGTATGGAGTAATGTATAATGTGATACTTTACCGAGTCCTCTCGAGGCCGGTTACGCCGAATTCTGCTGAGACCGGGTACGGTCGGGTACGACTGAGTCCTATATGAGGCCGAGTACGGAGCGATGTGAAGTGCCCCAAAGAGTGGCTGAATGTACATATATGTATATATTATAATTAATGCCTAGCCCCAATGAGTGTCTTGATTTTAGAAAAGCTTGCATACATTCATGATTATAGCAGTGTATGCCCCCGGTGGCTTATCTACGGTATTCAGGTTAAGATTTGTGCATTTCTATCTCCTATGATATCCCTTTGGTTTACATACGTTATATGTTTTACATACTCAGTACATCTTTCGTACCGACGTCTATTTTCTTTGGGCACTGTGTTCATGCCCACAGGTACAGATAGATCCGGTGACGTCCTTCCCCAATAGGGTGTTTGCTCCAGCTTTTGGTTGTTGCACTTCACTTCTCCGGAGTAGCTGTTCAAAAGTCAATAGGTACCGATGTGTATGTTCCAGTTAATTTTGGGTACGGTGGGGCCCTGTCCCGACCATGTCAGGTACTATGTTTAGCACTCTTAGAGGCTTGCATAGCAATATTCGGATGTATGTAAGGGTTGGTCATGACTATGTTGCAAACAGTGGTGAAGTTGCATTAATGCTAATATTCCTTTCATAGTGAGATGTGTACATTTTAAATTCTGGTATTTTACTTGGAGGCCTCGTTGGCCCATATTTCATGATTATAAAAGGTCTTAGTATGAATATCGATTCGCACGGGCCTTCGGGCGTCGTGTGTTGATCGCTTCTTCCAAGATTGGGGTGTGGCAATAAAGTGATCTAATTAGCTAATGAAGCAACTAAAACTTAATAAGCTTGTTGAAAGCACGGTAAGGCTACTAAAACTGCTATAAGGCAGCAATTGGGGTTAATTCGCCGTAATAACAACATTAGCATTTTTATTCTTTATTCTAAGATTAGTGCACGCTAAATAGTTAAGGCATATAATTATAAACTATTTCATTCAAAGTTAATTGAAACAAATATAATCTAATGGACTAAATGGGTTATCTATATCTCTAGATTCAAAAGTTGGATGGACTTTAGGAATTGAAAGTTGGGCATGTCATTGTGGCCTGCTAGTTATAATCAGTAAAACATGAATAAGAATGGGCTACAGATCAAACGAAAGGCTCCAGACCCTTAACGGGACACGAGAGATATTGGGCTCATGCGACCAATACGAAGTTCATGCACGTAAAAATTACACGGGCGCCCTATTTGGTCGCCCCTATTTAACCTATACTCATATTTTTAAAATTATTTAATTTATATCCTAATTTTAACAACTTCAGACGTCTCCTCTTCTTCCTCCTGACCTATGCGCTCCTTTCTTCCTCCTCTTCTTGTCTATCAAATTAACTTTTCAACCACTACTTTAATATATTCACTAATAAAATGTGAAGTTAAATTAACAACTTAACCTATATTTGATTAAATACTGTCATAAAATAACAAAATAGAGTATTGTATTATTCTCTATTTGAATTCAGAAACCCTGTCAACAGAAGGTAATACGTGGGTTTCTGCAAATTTTACAATCCTTTATTTTGCAAGCTCGAGATACAAATCCAAATGCATTGAGAGCGCAACAGATACTCTTTGATTCATCTTGTTATGTGTTTATCTCATACTGAATATACAGAAGTTCTAGATCCAGTATGAAGAACATGAAGAATTTCCCATGAGGTAAATCCCGATGTGATGCCAGACCAGCTCATAGTTATACTGAAAAGTTAATTTGTCCTGAAATTTGCACTACAAATTGAAGAACTTCAGACTAATTTGTCTGAAGTTTGCACTATGAAGTGAGGGAAAACTGAAGTTTGCCCTTGTACTATGAACTGAAGTTCCTGAAGTTTCCACTACAAATTAAAGAACTTCAAACTAATTTGTCTGAAGTTTGCACTATGAAGTGAGGGGAAACTGAAGTTTTTCCTTGCACTATAAACTGAAGTTCCTGAAGTTTGCACTACAAATTGAAGAACTTCAGACTAATTTGTCTGAAGTTTGCACTATGAAGTGAGAGAAAACTGAAGTTTGCCCTTGCACTATGAACTAAAGTTCCTGAAGTTTGCACTATAAATTGAAGAATTTCAGACTAATTTGTTTGAAGTTTGCACTATGAAGTGAGGAAAAACTGAAATTTTCCCTTGCAATATGAACTGAAGTTTACGTGATTACCTTTGTAAGTCAGGCCAAATTTCAGGCAAAAATATCTGAAGTTTTGCTTTGATAAGGCTACACTTCAGGCAAAACATTCTGAAGTTCAAACTTCAGACAAAATTTTTTGCTACTTCAGGCCCGTATGCCTGAAGTTACCCGAAAAGTGGGTACGCTTGCAATTTTTTTTACAAAGCAGGTATAAATTAAAATATGACCCAAAAATTGGGTATAGATGCAAATCCCCCTTCATGCACATATGACCTTAAGGCTTCAGAACTAGCAGACTTGGTCTTTTGGCTCTGAAAGCAAACCTCGCCTAGTGACCTTTTGAAGGTCTTAGCTTTTAACTCATAGCTGTAATCCACTCACATGCTATTTTTCATAAAAGTGATGTATCCATACATGATTTATTGCATATATGGCCACTAATTTAAATTAGTTACAACTTAGTTTTTCAGAAATAACACCTCACATTGAACTGTAAAAATTACACAGTGCGCCCTATTTGGTCGCCCCCGTTTAATCGATACCCATATTTTTAAAATTCTTTAACCTATACCCTAATTTTGACAACTTCAGACGCCTCATCTTCTTCCTCCTGACCTATGCGCTCCTTTCTTCCTCCTCTTTATTTTCTCTTCGTCTTTTCTCTCTCAAACACATGAGACTTTGTATAGGTATTATTGATTGGATCTGTAAAGTTTTTATTAAATCTTATCAACTACCATATTCTATGTTGAAGGACGAGTAAATAAAACTCCACAAGCTGGTTAAAGTAGGTGTGATTTGTGTCTTTCCCTAATCTATCCTTCTTAAACATACAACAACAATTGACTACTACATGTCTTCTCTTCCAAGTTACCTTCCACAAGAATGACACATACATGTGAAATTTATTATACACAATAGTTGCTCTTGCTATCTTTTGGAATTAGCTTACCCCTTGCTTTATGATATCATCTGCAAGAAAAATGACAGAAAAGGGTTGCAGAACTGAACAATAAAAGATAGAAAAAATAACTTCAGAACATTATCAAAAAATCAGTTAAAACTTTAGCACAATTTGGCTTAAGTTATATTTTAAAGCCATCTAACTTCAAAAAAGGCAGAACACAACTTCAGCTCTAAGACTGCTGAAGTTTAGCAAATATAAAACAAAAATTTCAGCTCCTAGAATGCTGAAGTTCAGCAAATACAAAATAAAATTTCAACTCCTAGAATGGTGAAGTTCAGCAATTACAAAACAAAACTTCACCTCCTAGAATACTGAAGTTCAGCAATTACAAAACAAAACTTCAGTACCTAGAATGTTGAAGTTCAATAATTACAAAATAAAAACTTCAACCAAAACATGTTGTAGTTTTATTGAACTGAAGCTTGCCATTGCACTATGAACTGAAGTTTGCGTGATTGCCTTTGCAAGTCAGGCCAAACTTTAGGTTGAAGTTTTGCTTTGATAAGGTTACACTTCAGGCAAAACATTCTAAAGTTCAAACTTCAGACATAATTTTTTACTACTTCAGGCCCGTATGTCTGAAGTTATCCGAAAAGTGGGTACGCTTGTAATATTTTTTGCAAAGCGGGTATAAGTTAAAATGTGACCCAAAAACTGGGTATAGATGCAAATCCCCCCATTGAACTCTACATTTGCAGAGCCGGCTTACTACATTAAGAGCCACTTCTATGTTTACAATCATAACCACCTATCAATCTAATTCCC